GTGGCCAGGAGCGGCCACTGCACTCCAGTCTGGGCGACAGAGTGAGACTCCAACTCAAAAAAAAAAAAAGTCAGGACAGTTGTTATCCTCAGGGGCTGACTAGAAGGGAGCATGAAGGGAGGCTTCCGGGGTACTGAAATGCTCTGGTTCTTAAGCTGGACACTGGTTACATGGATGTGTTCAGTTTGTGAGAATGTATCTATCTATAAAATTATGATATGAATACTTTTCAATAAATGTAATACTCCTGTGAGGAAAAAAGACATTCTTCCTTACATTCTAGCATAGAAATGCATAGCTTAAGAAGTAAACTCCAAGCCCATGACTAGGAATATCATTCATGAGTGAATTTTCCTTCTAGAAGTCACATGTCCCATGCCTTGTACACTTGTCATGCCTTTGGTGAAATGTATGTGGGGCACTTGAAGAGCCAGGAACACTCATGGCTTTGATATCTAGCTGCCTTCAACATAAACATCTCTGAAATCTGGAGAGGCTGTTAGACATCTCTAACCTTCTAAGGTTGGGAAAAAATGGAGCTGAGAGATTGGGTAAAGCCTAGCTAGGTGAACATCTCTCAAAACAGTCTTTACTCAGATGAACGGAGAAAACGAAGGAGGAAACTATCAGTCAACCCCTTTCCTCTTGAGATATCTAAGTAGTTGTCAAGGTCACAGAGAAGAGCTCAGGTGGTACCCAATTAATGTCAAAATTTCACCTAAATAGGTTTTAATTTTAGTCACACATACGCATCGTCAAGTATTGCAGAATAATTCAAATTAATGACAAGCAAGCCAGAGCTGATGCTGGAAACCACGGAGGAGATGGTGAAAAGCACCCGCACCCCAAAATGAAATGTGGCCCCCAACCACACCACAGACGGGCCACTAAAAATAGCCAGTGAGTTCTGGGAGGAGTTATCTTTCTGTTCCTTCTTTCCATTGTCAGATAACTGTACTCTCAATCTTCTATCTCTAAGGCTCTCTTAGAAAGAAAGCTTCTTCACAGGTGTAATTATGTAGATAGAAGATTTTAAATCAGCTACTTTATCAGACCGATTAAAAAATAAGAAACTGGGTATTAATTCCAAACCTAGTACAATCTAGAAAACTTCCTAATATTAAGAGTTGGAAAACTGACCACATACACCAACATATACCAACTACAATCCTGTTTACCAGAGTTCTTTCTTTTCCATGCTCAAATCTTAATAATGGATTCTGCCAACTGGAAACTGATGAATTCTAAATAGCCCTGTACAACCTCTTTCTACCTGTAACTCATAGGATGATTATTTACATTCTGAAAAGTTTTCTGGGAATGTGAGAGCTTGAAGGTTAGACATGGCATGTCATATACAATGACAATGGTTGAGGACTTTGCCACTATTTATAACCAAACCTCATGAATAAATAATTCCACTGTGAACTCAAGTTGAGAGAGTTTAGAAAAGAGACTCCTGAGGGTCCAAAAGGCTGGTTCCACCACTGACAGGTAAGGTGAATTTGGAAGAAAGTCCTTAAGATTATTTCAATTTAAATTTTCCTTGGTCAAACTGCTGAATCTACACCCAAGGAACTGTGATAACAATTGAGCTTCAGAAGACATTCAGAGACCCAAAGACAAAGATATGTCATAATAAGACTAACCAAATTCATGAGTCCATGTTGACTGAGTCCACATTGGAAAGAGAACTAAACCAAAAACATAAGTGTGTATGAATTTGCTAAATAAATTAGAAAAGGAAAACATGAAATCATATTTAAGGTTTCTGAAGCTCAACACCTTCACAAATCACTTTAAGGAAACTTCCCAAAACACAGTTATTATGAATATATGCAGACTATGAATTATGGTACCAGTCCTGAGGTTATACCTTGCATACGATTACTTTCCCAAGGGCTACTATTAATTCATCTCAGAAAGGAAGAGAAGAATGCCAATTCAAATATTTTTTTCTCCACAAGTATGTAGTAGAGAATGACCAGTGGGAACACCTTTTAGGTGAACCAATACGATATTATCTCTCTCATTTACAAAATTATGTCATTTCTTTACCCAAGAAACTCTGTGACCAGGAGAATCTCTGTACCTTTTTAAAGAGTCTTCCTGAGTCCTCGCTGACTTGGACAAATCGAGGAATGATATTATTCAGGTAGATGTCACTCAGGGTTGTGTGGTCCCTGCTCTCCCGTTTCACCTGATTTAAGAGGAGATTCCAGCAATTGACCGGAGAGAGAACATTCTGATCCTTCCTGCAGAAAAACAACATGGAAAAAAAATCACTGTTGGTACACAGCCAGGGGTAACATCCTACAACTATAGTCCATGTCATAAAATCATAGCAATCATATTCCAACCAGAAATAGATATCGTTCCTGAAGCCCACCTCTCTGGTTTGCTTCTTTTCTAAAAACTGGGGGGGGGGGGGGGTTGCGGCAGAGAAATCAAGAATAACACGAAGAAGAGGGAGGGAGATAGGAGAGGGAAAGAAGAGACAGAAGAGGAAAAGCAGAAGCAGGATCATCTGTTGAGTACACACTATGTTCTAAGAACTTGGTGAATGCTTTATATGTATTATCTCATTCAAATTTCGAAATTGCATTGTTTAAAAAAAAGAACTACCAGTATTATCCCCATTTTATGAATTAGAAAACTGAGGCTCAGAGAAGTTGTCACTTGCCAATAGCTAATAAGAAAAAGTCACACAACAAATGAGAGGGAGTCAGGGACTAGACCAGCTGTCTGACTCCAAAGTCCATAACCTTAGCCACTAAGTCATATTTGGTTTGTCTCTAGGGTTAGAGACAAAGTTAGAAATTCTGTCTAGAGTTAAAATCACTAGAGTGCTACAGACTAAATCCTCACAAATTTGTCCATTGTAGGATTCAATGGAGGCAATTTTGGAGACATTTGCCATGTAAAATCACTGAAAAGTCTTGAGTTCCATGGAACTAAGGTTTGATTTCACTGACTGAACCATGATCTCATGTCCCACCAGAATACAAACCATATCTGAACATATGTATTCCTAAAGAATTATAGATTACCTACTCAGTTCACAACACTAATTTAGGCAATAGAAAGTTCTGCATCTGGAAGATGGATTTATTTAAGGAGAGAAACAGAAGGTAGCAATCATTTGCAGTAATATTTATCAAGGAATACAAGCACCCAGCACACAGCTGGGACCTTTATATATGTTGTTTAACTTAAACTCTACAACTAGCTGATGAGATGGCTGTTATTAACCACATTTGGCAGATGAGAAAAATTGGACTAAAAAAAGGTTAAACAGCCGGGCTCGGTGGCTCAGCCTGTAATCCCGCGCCTTGGGAGGCTGAGGTGAGTGGATTGCTTGAGCCCGCGGATTCAAGACCCGCCCGGGAAACTTGGCGAGACCTCATCTCTACAATAAATCAAAAAATCAGCCAGGCGTGGTAGCGCATGCCTGTAATTCCGGCTACTTGGAAGGCTGAGGCGGAAGGATCGCCGGAGCCTATCAGGTCGAGGCTGCGGTGGCTGGGAGCGGCCACTGCACTCCAGTCTGGGCGACAGAGTGAGACTCCAACTCAAAAAAGAAAGAAAGAAAGAAAGAAAGGTTAAACCCCTTGCTCAGGTCAGACAGTCAAAAAGGTGGCAATGTTGGAACTCAAACCCAACCTATCATTGCAGAGAGTACTCTCAGTCACTGCAAAAAATCACAATCTGTCCATGATAACGTTATGTCCACTTACTTTTCTAGGGAAATTGAAATATTTCTATGGAAATAAAAAATATACTAGCTGAGAGAGATGGACACATATAAGCTAATTAATTTCAAAATGTTAAGCATCTGAAAGAAAAAGCGATGGACAGGAAACAATACTAAATTAACAATGGTGAGAGCTTTGAGAACATGTATTCAATGACATTTGGTATTTACATTGCAAGAAAACTTTCAAATTGATTTCCAATAGATTTTAGTTACAAATTCTAAATAGTCTAATTTACATTTTTATCAAGTAGTTTCTCTTTGCAAGATACCCATGTCCTTAAGCATGGAATATGCCAGGCGATTACTCTTGCTTTTCAAAAAAGTAGAGCTCGCAAGACCTTAAATTGATGATTTGCTTGTTGCTTCTTACAGGAGAATATGGGTTGGCAGTCTAACAATACTGGTCTTTTACTATAGTGCCTTACACATACAAAAATGATGTTACAATTCAATTCCACAAATGTATAAACATTTGAATCTTAAATGAACAAGGTACAGCATTAGCTACTTTTGTAGTTATAAAAGTGCTGATGTTATAATGTAGTGTAAGAGACAAAGACAGACCTATAATAAAACAGAACTTTCATAGAGGTACAAAGGGTTAGCTAGCTCACAAATGCATACCACAGATCACAAGAGAAGGTGAGGAGGCAAAACTAACCTAATGTCATGGAAAGCGATGCAGAGCATATATTCCCAAGGAACCCTCAAAAGAAAGGATGAGTAAACAAAGATGAGGTAATAAAGAGGATAGAAGTGGAAACCTTTTAAAAATAAAATGCCTATCACCTAATGCTAATAAATTTTATTAAGAACTTGTAATATGCTACAAGTACTTTTACCACATGTATTTATTTCCATCCTTAAGGCATATAGTGGAAAGGCTACAGAATTATTATTGGTTTCAATGAGCAGGAGCTTTTAAACTGTGCTCCAAGTTACTCTGGAATTGAGAGAAAAACTGCAATTCTGTAAATTAGAGTTGGGGTGTTTTAATTCATTCATTCATTTTAAAAAAGTAACATATTCATTCAAACAAGCAACCCCTATACAAATGAGCAAGGGACTCAGGACCGAATTTCCCTGCATTAGATGCTACAGCAATGTCTCATGGGCTGCTAGGTGAACTTTGTTGTATATAAGCCTTGGGATAAAGAATCGCTGCATGCGTTGGAACTGTTGAACAATGTGCTGTTGGATAGAACAAATGTATCTCTGCACAGGCTTATTTTTTTCACTCAAGCCTGTGTGAGTCTCCTTGGATAAAGCTGTGCAGGTGAGCACATTACTTGGCACACGACAGCCAGGTTCAACGACACACCACAGAAGGCTCAGGAGCCTATGCTGGGTTAGACCATAGTTGGGTAGTGAGAATCAACAACACATAATCAATGGTTGCAATGCTTATTATACATGTTGGGGCTTATCCAATTAATATTTATGAAGGGAAATGGGAATAGCTACTAGGTAACACTAGTGAGTCAACTTTAAAACAAAAATGTCTTCTTTTTCAAGCATTTAATCAATTTAAAACTATCTCGAGATTACAATTACTCATCTGTATGAATCAGGATTTTCTTGATACTGGGCTACCCAAACCAAAACCATAAATACTTTGGATGGTGAGACTGATAGCAAACTGTAACTCTTATTCATTGTCCTAATTTCAATATTTTTAGTTCATAAACACAGCCTCATTGTTCTCAATGACTGACTCTGTAATAAGTATTCTTTATAAATTTGCACTTTAAAGTAGATTTATGCCAATAAAATACTACTTTGATCTGTTTCATATATTGGGGTTCTATGCCAGATTTTTCTTTTTAAAAAGGAATCTATAGCTTAGAAAAAACAGCATTAAACCCTACTGTCTGTTTCCTCCAGGGGGTCTCAGTCTCTTCTACTATCACTGCAGCTTTTGTACAGTATTTCTTGTCCTTTGAGTTCATATGCATTCTTAGACATATTCTTCCTTTTAGTTTGGGTGTTTTAATTAATTCATTTATTTATATTTAGGAAGTAGTAGGGCAGGCGAGGTAAAGGGAATGTGGGAGGAAGGGATCACAAATATACAGTACAGACAATTTTCCCAGCCAACATGAACAAAGATGAAACACACTTCAGGCTGGAAAATAAGCAAGTCAACGAGACGTGATTTCATAGGGAGCATATTAAGGCTCTGCTAGAGTGGTTTCCTGCTCCAGAAGCTTTGCAGCCTAATTTTATTTGGGGCTGCTGGAGCCAAAAGAACTTCATTTGGTTAGGAGATCGAAATTTGTCTTTATATCTTTTCCATCTATCATTTGTTTGCACAGTCTCTTTACTTCCCCACCCCAGAGCCTTAGGTTGTGTAATACTTGGGCATTTAAAGAAAAAGGTCTGCATCCCTTAGGAATGTGCTGAACAGCTGCAAACCTCCTCAAACACTAATCCCTAAAAAGCAGACAAAATATCCAGGAGTATTTTTCTTACTTAAAAAATTTTTCAGGAGGAAGATCAAGAAAACATCATACTGTACTTTAGAGGGAATGACTCTGGAGTCAAAAGAAAGGAGAACCAGAAAGTCACAAGCTGCCTGTGCATCTGCAGAAGACATTATCACTAAAAATGCACTAAAAGAGGTAAACTGCACAGCTGAATCATTAGCTTCAAAGACATTAACCCAGTTTTTCTTCCTTAACATAGACTAGTATAGATGTTCAAAAAACTTAGCAATAAATGCTCAAAGGGATTTCTCTATAATATCTAGGGTGAAGAGTCAAGGCCATAGAGGTCCAAGTTGGTCTCCATACTGTGCTTCCCTTTTTTTTTTCCATATCCCCTGTTTGGTTTTAATCATCTCATCTATAAAATGGACACATGCCCCATCTGTGTGCAACCCACTCCCTAAAGATCTTCAAAGCATGATTGTAAAATCCTGGAAGCTCTCTTGGCCTACGGTGCTATTTAATTAATAATTGCTATGTTCATGGCTATGCAGATGGAATGCATGGCAAGAGCCTGGCATTGCTGGAATGGCTTGAGCTTCTGCACTGCTATAGTGAGGTATGTTTCCTTTTGGGTCAAAGGTCTCTGATTTGCCACTGTTGTGTGGATTAAATGAATAAATGGATGCCAAAAAACACCAACAGCAAAGCACTCTACAAATGTGAGGAAATATTATTATTTTTATTTCCAAACAAACTAGGACTCGGCTTTCATCAATTTCCAACGTGCTCCTCACCCGGCTCTGGGCCAGGGCCAAGATAGCAGCCTGCTGAACATGCACAGCCCCCAGCAAATAATGGTTGGGATAAGACAGCAGCAACAGGCAATTAACAAAGCAGCTGTAAGTCTCTGGGAAGACATGAGGGAGATACCAACAGGAGAGCTGAATTTAATCTTCTACTGTTCTCTCCCTAAGGAACAAGGTGGAATGATCAGTCTTGCATTCCACACGGGGAACTGTGTGCTGAGGTTAACAGGAAGGAATCCAAAGGGAGTCCAGATTGCCAGAAC